AGAGAGAGAGAGAGAAAACCATTGGCGGAATGATTCTTTCTCCATGAATACTGTGTACATGTTTTTTTCATAAAAATAATAACTATTTTCTCTCTGAAAGCAGATACTATCACATTGATTCATTTTCTTTCATTTCCTTGTAGGGCACACTTCTGAACCTGTGAAAAATAGTTAAAACAAAGGACTCTTTCCTTTCAGGAAGCTTGCGTCCCAACTGAAACAGCTTATATTTACATAGTCGTCATTCTCAACCCTTGACAAACATACAATTAAAAAGTTACAAGGATACCAGAGCCTTAAAGTTGTTCTGGGGTGGCGCTGTAGGATAATGTACCACAAAGTCAGTTTGAACCTCAAGGTTCAGAATTGTGCCCTACGAGGGAATGAAAGAAAATGAATTAATGTTATAGTATCTGCTTTCAGAGAGAAAATAGTTATTAGAAAGGAAAAAAGACACCAATAACAAGGTTCTTAAATGTGGAAAGGCAGAGCTACTAACTTTCAAAAGACTTAAACAGATTTCTTTTATTTCCATATGTGATATTTATTGAGAACGTGACTATTCTCTTCCAAAAGGACCTCAAAAAGTAAGATGATATATATTTTTTCTTCAAATGTTGCTTTAAAAATATCTACTTTAATACACACTGAGCACATTTATAAAACAAAAATGTGCACTTGTTTTGAGATATTTTGTGACAGAAATGTTTTCTATTTAGCCACAAAAGACTATATTTCCATAAATATTAACACTACAATAAATTCTCCAAGTCATATTCAAATTGTCCTATTTTTCTTTCTCTCTCTTCCTCATTGAAAAGGGCTGTAATCATATCTACTGATCTATTCTCTACCTAAGGACAGCTTTCTTGCAGAACATACCTGTAAGTGGCTTGAGTGGAGACAGTGAAGGTGCCCAATGGGGCCAACACTTCACTTCTTATTGAGGTAATAGAGAATTAGCTTCTTGGGAAATACTCACATCACAATCTTTTTCATGAACCACAGAGGTCTTTGGAAGGGAATCAGGATGATTATCAGTGTGATCTGAAGCTGAGCAGATGGTCACAGATGTACCAGAACCCTGAAGGCTGAAATAAGGGCGTAGGGTCCCACAGAGGGTGATTCCAGTAAAGGAGTAGATGTGAGAACCATCAATCATGTTGTAAAAGGACACATCTCCATCCTTCCAGTTCAGGAAAACCCCTATCTTTTTGGGGTGCTGCCTCAGGGACAGAGGCTTTGGTGTGGAGGTGAGAGCCTCGATTTCTCCGTTAGTGCATGCCACCAACCAGAAATTCTTTTCCGGTTGTTCTTTAAACCACCCATCTCTCTTGACTGTTTCTGAGCACACACCCAGAGCCCATCTATTTTCAGCGTCATCTTTTATCTCCATATTCACTTCCACCACCCAATAATGTCTGTCTTGCGTAAAGCAATCCTGGCCCAGAACACTGCAGATGTCACAGTTCTGAGAATCATTTTCTGCCCAATAAACATGTCTTCTATCCTCAGATAAGTCGAGGTTGGGATGAGCTGTGTCTGCAGCCAACACAGCAGTCACTGTAGGTGTGGAGGAAAAACATAATGTCAATCCATAATACAGACTGGTTGGCCCTAGGATAGAAACAAATACTAGGGAAGAAGAATGGAGGAAAATCAAAAATCAAAACAAAACAAGGAAAACAAACCCACTCTCTTTGAACTGATTCTTAATCTCAGTGACCCTATGGGATAGAGTAGAATACTGTCATAGGGTTTCTGAAGCTATAAATATTTATGCAATTACACTGCTTCATCTTTCTCCTATATAGTGGCTGGTGGGTTTGAATCACCAACCTTTCAATTAGTAGCGCAATACTCTAGTCCACTGCACTACCCTTTAGAGTAATACAAGAGCTAATTGTTGTTGTTAAGTGCCATCGAGTCAGTTTCGACCCAGAGCGACCTTGTATAGGGTTCCTAAGAGCAGCTGGTGAGCTTGAACCACCATCCTTGCAGTTCAAGCCGACTTTGGAGCCCAGCTCATTAATCTACAGTGCCACACCAGGATCCTAATGTGTAAAACAGAATCCCAGTGTGGAAAGGTTGGTTTGAACCATGAGGTCGGCAGTTCAAATTCACCAGCTGCTTCTTGGAGACCCTATACAAGGTCGATATGAGTTGGAATCAACTTGATAAGACTTAACAACAACAACATGTTTGAAACATAAAAAGATAAAATTAAGCCAGGCCCTTGGGTAGCCATCTGTTTCAACAGGCTGAAACCACTCAGCCAATAGGATTGTTTCATCTACAATTTTCCAGCATCAAGTATTCAGGACATTGTCTCTCCATACTCTGCTCAATGCTGTTCCATTACTGCTTGCTCTTGATAGTGAAGTCCTGTCATATTTCCAATTGTAGCATGACTACTTTCATTTAAGTCTCTTTAGAATCATTTTTCCTGTGGATTTAGGTAATAACCAAATCAATGAACTTTCTTATTGAATTATTATCTTTTCAGTGTCAGAAAAATATGGGTTTTGGTTGTCACCCTGTCTGTGGTTAATTTGCTTCTGTCAGTCTCAGTATACTCTCATGATAAATGTATAATCATCATACCTTCACAAAGAATTATTGTTAGAAAGAGATAAGATGAAATAATATGTCTTGTCCTTAAATTTTAGTTTCCAATAGGTGTACTAATACTAAAGGCTGTTGGTGGTGGTTAAGTGCTGTCGAGTCAGTTCCAACTCATAGAGACCCTGTATAGGGTTTCTGTGGAGTGATTAGTGGGTAGTAGTAGCAATTAATATATTTCTTTTAAACCTAAACTTCTTTAATAATTAAAGTTTTCTCATAAGAATTTGCATCTGGGATATTAGAGTATGTTTGAACTTTTGGAGGATTAAAATAATTAGGAAATGCTTGTAAAGACTGGGCTTGAATCAGAGTAAAGTGGCATGCACTAAAAATGTATAATCAACTCACAATTCTGAAAAAATCCCCTAAAATGGGCAAGGGATGGTTTTGATTTTCATAGAGATGCAGCAGCTCTCCTCTGTCTTAGGAGAGTTACACAAAAGTCTTCCTCAACTGAACTACTTCTGCAATGTTAGTCACCTGAGTAGATACACCACATGATTAAAGTATATTCTGAAGTGTTAACTTCTTAGGTAATTTCTTGAATGTGCCACTTTTTCTCACAGGAAGTTCTTTATTCCTTTGTATGTATACTTTACTCTGAAATCAGAGATGAGCTCTGCTTTATTTGGTACTAAATAGTTGTATGACTCCTGGGATTGCACTGTGGGATCAGCACTGGACTGTGAACCACAATGTTGGTAGTTCAAATCTACCAGTTGCTCCTCAGAAACCCTATATAAGGTGGCTGTGATTCAGAACTGACTGAATGGCACTTAACAACAACAGCAATGCATAGTAGTAGAAGTTTATGTTGAATGAATGGATGAATTGTATTAGAATAACAAGAAATCTGTTAACATTTCACTATGAGATCAAGGCTGATCAAGGCCACTGCACTAATGTATTCATAATCACACAGGAATTATTGGAAGTTTATACAATCGTGAGAGCTTTCATTTGTCCAGAGATTATGTAGGGCAGAATAAGAATGTCACTTGCCTGCTTTGAACTGTTCCTTTCTCCAGTCTGAAAACCAAACCAAAACAAAATTACATGAGAAAATATGCCAAGAGTAGACTTTCTGTGCTGCTGGTGTGTCCCTGGTCAGGTTTCCTGGCTCAATAAAGTAAAATTTCTCTCTGGAAGATTCCTAAGAGCCCCACAAAATCTTGTGAAATCCCACAAGAACATCAGAGTTACATACCTGCATATATATTTGCTTTTTTCCAGTCTGAAACAAAACAGAGGAATTAGATTTTCCCATTCTTAAGACCTTCACTTCAGAATATAAAATTATTACCACCATATGAATCACAAAGGTGCATGACAGTACTATATTCTGTTCAGCTTCCCTATACAAACATTCTGCGGAGTTTCTCTTATTGTTAATCTCCTGCCCAGTTTCCCACATTTCCCACATTTCACCAATAAATCTGTTATAAAAACATTTGGGATGAATTCTCTTGGAACAAGAAGGGGAAGATAGACATAATTTGTGAGCCCAATCTGATAATAACATCACATAACTCACCTTGTCTATATAGCTCCTTTCTTCTGCCTGTTAAGAAATAACAGCCTGTGAGATCCAACACAGTATAGAGGCAGGACTTTATTTCTTCTATAAGTGCAAAGAAAACATGGAACTTACCAAGCTCTGCCTGAAGTGAATCTAAAAAGGAGAAAAATCATAAAGCAGATTTTACAGAAAAAAAATCCAAGGTTTAGTTTCAAGACTATGTCACTTGCACGTATTGTGGTAACTACTTGCACACACCTTGACCTACACATACTCTTAGATGGATAGCATGTTCTAACACATGTTATCCATCTACGAGTATCTGGAGTTAGAACATTTGTTGTTAAGAGTCATTTACATTAATTTTGAATTACTGTGCCCATTTATTTCTAACTCCATATTTATACCAGTGATTTTTGTCTCTCTTATGGATTCTATTATACTATTCCGCCCCCCTGGGATTCTGGCTGCATGTTCTGTTGGAGACCTGGGGGCTCAAATTCAGTGCTACATGTGTCACTGTTTCCCAGTAGATGCCACCATGTGCACAGTCATTCTCACATAATCATAACCTCACCACCCCCAACATGGATCATTCCCAGGTTTACCTCTGGCTTGCTTTATGTCTTCTTTTTCTTTCTCAACTTCTGATACTCGCAAATTGTCTTGCTTATGTTTCCGGATCAAAAATAAAACTGCAATCAGGCAAATCCCAAGTATATAGAGAGTCACAGCAAATGCTGGCTTCCAAGGAGAGGCCCTAGGGAAGAAGGGCTCTGAAATAGGGCCCAAGACCTGGTCAACGCTGCTCAACACACAATCCCATTCCATCCCAAATCCCAAATATCTCCTCCTCACCCCCTTCATGAACCTAAAATGAGCAGCACTGACCTGGGATAGAAATGCTTTCTACTTGCTCTTCACCAAACAAAGGGTTCTTTACAGAGCAGGACACTTTTCTCTTGGAGCTGTCTCTGACGATGAGGGATGCCTTTATCTGGAACAAACCATCATCATCTTGGGTCTGGTCCTCAGAGAGAGATGGTATCTTCTCTCCCCTTTCATCTTTCCATTGTATCTCTGGCTGGGGAAACCATCCCTTCCCTGTGCATGTCACTTGTATTCCTTCATCTTCTGGACCCACCATGAGAATACGAGGAACAGAACCGAGACCTGGAGAGGGAAGCCATTTCTCAGAGAATTGGATCATTTTTGTCCCCAGATCCCTAAGGTTGTATAGTAACACCATTGTGGGGAGAGGGAAGAAGCACCATAGTTCTGAGTGGGACTTGAGAGTGTCTTTTCTTTTCCACATGAGATAGATGTGTGCCTGTGGTCCAAAGTCATGGAAATGATTCTGGGCTTGAGGCTGACACTAGTACTTATCTCTATGCCTAACACATGCTATCCATCTAAGAGTATCTGGAGTTAGATCATTTGTTGTTAAGAATCATTGAGTCAGTTCTGACTCATAGAGACTCTACCTACATAGGGTTTCCAAGAAGTAACTGGTGGGATTGAAATGCCAACCATGTGGTTAGTAGTACACTGCTTGTCCTATGGTGCCACACCAGAACTACCTATTAGATCATAGCAAGACATACAAAAGGGACAAAGTAAAATTTGCCAAAGTTGAAATGTTGAGATATTTCTGAAAACACCATTTTTAGAAGTCTTAAGGAAGTTTATTCTGTACTATATACAAGGCTTCTTGGAATCATTTAAAGAACTATCTTCACTTGCATTTTTCCAATTTTCATTTTTCTCTGAGCAGAGACTAACTAAAAGATGAGGTGAGACAATGAAGAGGTCAAGGTGATTTGTTATTTTTCCATTTTCACCCTTTGTGCTCTCTCAAAATTTCTTCCTCCCTACCATACTCCCTGCTCTCAGAATATTGGAACAATCAGCTTTTTGCTTTTAGTTTCTTTTCTCAATTCTCCATAAGTTGAATCTACTGGTGGATCCATGAAACCGGCACCCACGTATATATATATGTTGTTGTTGTTGTTGTTGTTGTT